TCTTCAATCGACATTGTTTACTTGAGAAGCTCAACTAGCAAGGAAGAAATCACACTCTTGAAAGGATTCAAAGAGAACACACTTTGGCTTCAACAAAATGGGTAGGACTTGAGTTCTCAAGGTTTTCAAGAGGTGGGTGCTCAACCTTAAAAATGAGTGAAATGGGTAACATGAAGAAGAAGACTATATTTATAGTCTAGGGTTTTTCAAAAAGAGGGAAAAAGCCCAAATAGAAAATTATGGGCCCTTTTCAAAATAAAGTGGCCAAATAGAAAGTTATAAGTCCTTTTCAAAATAAAAAGATCAAATATAATATTATGGGCCCTCTTCAAAATAAAGTGGGAAAGACTTGAAGTTAAAAAAAAAAAAAAAAAGAATAATATAGTCAATGCCTCCTTCTCCAAGTCTCATTGGACATGGGGCATTGGGGGGCAAATGATGGGTTAAGCCCAAATAGTCCAATTTATGTTTTAAAGTCCAACTCCAGTTGAGGAGCCCAACCTCATTTTGAATCTACCAAACTCAAAACAGTCCAAGACCGGTTAGACTTTTTGCTTAGCACGTCATCAAGAGGAGAGCATGAGAAGCTTATCTGCACTACCGAAGGAAACTGTCCAACCTTTGACCACGTTTCATGAAGAGCTCCCCAACCTCCTCTTTCCCTTGAGGATAAGTCATGATCTCCACCAGAATGATCTCTTAACTGCGATAAAGTAGCCTTAAGGATAAGTCATGATCTCCACCAGAATGATCTCTTACCTGCGATAAAGTAGCCTTGAGGATAAGTCATGATCTCCACAAGAATGATCTCTTAGCTGCTATAAAGTAGCTCCAATCTGTGAGGAGAAGAGAGATGAAGGTCACGCCCCACCAACACTTACAGAGGACAGACCGACGACCGGAGACCACTCTTTCTTTGATTCTCCATTCTCTCAAAGCTTGTATCTCTATTTTCCATACCTCTGAATTAATAAAATACCTGGCAACNGACAGACCGACGACCGGAGACCACTCATTCTTTGATTCTCCATTCTCTCAAAGCTTGTATCTCTATTTTCCATACCTCTGAATTAATAAAATACCCGGCAACTGAAGCCATTGAAGAGTGAACGTAGGTCGAATTGACCGAACCACTATAAATCATGTCTTCTTCAATTTTTTCATTGATTTCACTGTATTTATTACCTACACTTGACAGGTGATGTGCAAAACTATTTTTGTGCATCATCAATTTCTATGGTAATGATGTGGGCTTGTGCGTTCAGTCTAAAATTGCAGCACGAATCGGCCAAAACGACTCTGGAGGTGATACTGCCCAATGACACATTTATTGCTGTAGTCAGTGATGTGAATCACTCAACAAACCAATTCCTTTCTCAACCATAACTCAGCTCGTTGGCCATTTTACGACAGAACTTTTCAGTTGATTGACTATAATAGAGGTCACAATTTGATTAATCATTGTAATTCATTCACTGATTCATTCTTGACTTAACAGTCCCAGGATTCACAAGAAGGATACAGTTCATGATTGTACTAAAAATTGTACGTACCTGACCAACACCAATACGAAATGTAAGGGGCTTTCCGCGATTGTAGCTGCTATCGAAGACCTTTCCATTCTCCAATTTGCCCACATAATGCGCCTGCTCATTTTTAGGTCACAAAATCAGATACCATTGTTGTAAAAGCATAAACACATGATTTTCAAGTTAATCTATTGCCAAGAGAAAAGGCACAAAAAACATGTTGCTATTTTAGGAACCAAGGATCCGTTTACTTCAGTTATAGTTTTATCGAGTGGCTTATGGGTCCATGTTCATGTGCAGTCTGTGGGGATTTTGTACACGAATAGGAGACTTCTTTAACTTATTTCCAAAGATTAGTTCATAGTCTTAGGAACCGTGGGGGTAGAAATATTGCAAGGAAGATCTGGTTGATATTTTGAAACGATGGCTGTACCATGGAGCTCGTGCAGCTACCAGATCATCCTTGTGACACTGTAGGGCTGTTAATCAACTCGAAACTTAGCTCGGTAGTGACTGGCCGAGGTTGAACTGTTGAGCTTAGATTTGACTACTAGACGACATCGAACTGCTCTAATCGTTCAACGGCCTTAGACTCTCAACTTTTGATCACAGTGATTCCCACATTGTTCGAGTAAAAAGACCGGAACATACTACTCTGGGTTCGAGTACAAAAACGGGAACAAACTACTTCAAGTTTGAGCTTAAGCTTTTGATTTCAGTTTGAATCAAACTATATATCACCCTAGAATCCAAAGCGCATATAGAAATCTAAACTACCTTAATTAGTTGTCCTTTGACAGCCTCTGGGCCACTTCCTAGAGCTTTATCGCAGTATGCTAACCCCGACGGAGTTTCGGTTAGCTCACAAGGACTGGCTTCTGCTTCTGCTGCTGCTGCTGCTGCAAAGGCCTGTGGTTGTAAAAGAACTTGAAGAAGACCAGAACAAACTCCAAGTCCAATTACTTCTCTTCTTGCACATAAGGTTGAGTTTTCATTTAGTTTTAACAGGTGAGAAGAGGTGATGTGGTGGCTGGTGGATTTGGCTGATGAAGCTTCTGTTGTGTGCAAGTTTTTATAGAGTAAACAACTGGTAATGGATGTGCTGTGGTTTGTGGGAGGTAGAGAGAGAAGGGAAAATGGCAGTGAGCTCATCTCTTCCACTGCCAGCCAGGGTAATGAAGGGATAAGAAAGGATGGGTTGTCCATCCATTCATTTTATATGAGTGGGAGGAAACTTTGAAAATTTCAATCACAACACGAAGCAGTCCATGCATTCATTTGAGAGCAATTCATTTGACAGCAATGCCGCTGGACCTAATTTAGTTCCCTAAGTTCCATCAAATATTAAAATTTGTTATTAATTTAATGATTTCAATGAAACAACGTCATTAAATCAACCAATTATGTCAATTTTCTAGGTCCAAATAACATTTTCCTTTCTTTGAAGCCAAAATAATTTACTTGAATCACCATGTTTGCAGACCAAATTAATTATTTTTGTTGAATTAATTTTATATTAATTAAATAGAGTCTACCGTTAATCTAATAATTAGCGATACATTTTAATATNTATCAAATTTTAAAATTTGTTATTAATTTAATGATTTCAATGAAACAACGTCATTAAATCAACAAATTATGTCAATTTTCTAGGTCCAAATAATATTTTCCTTTCTTTGAAGCCAAAATAATTTACTTGAATCACCATGTTTGCAGACCAANTCTTTCCCTTCTCACGCATAGGGCTGATTGTCTTCTTCCCCCTAACTTGTACATCAACCATGATAGTTTCATTCCTATGTTAGGAGAGCATAGTGGTTCGGAGCGTACTTTATCTGAGATCACTCCTCTGCTGGCATCCGAGGTCAATAAGGCAAATGGGGATTCTCATTCCATCATAGAAATTATCTCTCCATTGGTGAAGATTGTGAGGGTGAAGCTATTTCAAATTTCCCTCACTGATANAAATTAATTATTTTTGTTGAATTAATTTTATATTAATTAAATAGAGTCTACCGTTAATCTAATACTTAGCGATACATTTTAATATAGCATAAATAATATTTCTCAACAATATTTAGCCGTTGTTCATGCACTCATTCGTGCCAGCAAACTTTTGAACACAAAAATTGTCATTATCTAATGGGTAATTCTAAACTTAAAAATAGAATCAAAGAAGATACCAAATAATAGCATACTCACGTGATGGTGCTGACTAAGCAATGCTTTGATTTAGGCATTGGTTTTTGGACGAAATTTTAAGACGCGTTTTACGTTTTGACTAAATGAAATTTTGAAGATCAATTTGAATTTCAATTTGTTGCTCCAATAAGTTTTTGGTCTGAAAATTTTCCCTGCTCATAACCGTCACATGAATTTCATACCTTTTGGTCCCATTTTTGTGTTAGTTTCACATTACCTTTGTTGATGCTAGAGTTTGACCTCCGATCACCTGAGTAGATTACTAGCTAGGATTGTCCACTGGCCAACCAAGGGGAGCACTTGAAAAGACAATTCGAAGATAAGAGGAGTTCCGAGGGTCAACCCTCTAATACTTAAATCAAACTTAAATCAATAAAGGGAAAAGAAAATTGANCTCCGAGATACTTAAATCAATAAAGGGAAAAGAAAATTGAATATCAAATTGAAGTAGAGATTGCTTTACTATTTGATATCCTTCCCCCTACTTTTATAGGCAGTATGTTATAGTTAGAAGGTGGAGTGGAAGTGGACTCCTTCAATTGGTCAAATGTGGAGAGCTAAGAATCTGGTGAGTTGGAGGAGTAGCAAATTCGTGAGTTAGAGCTTTGTTGNTTCCGAGGGTCAACCCTCTAATACTTAAATCAAACTTAAATCAATAAAGGGAAAAGAAAATTGAATGTCAAATTGATGTAGAGATTGCTTTACTATTTGATATCCTTCCCCCTACTTTTATAGGCAGTATGTTATAGTTAGAAGGTGGAGTGGAAGTGGACTCCTTCAATTGGTCAAATGTGGAGAGCTAAGAATCTGGTGAGTTGGAGGAGTAGCAAATTCGTGAGTTAGAGCTTTGTTGAGCTGCCAAGCTCCCTGTGCTGAGAATCCCATCATCAGTTGCCCCCCAAGCTTAGCTCAGCATAACTTGCATGTGCCCTTCATTTGAGACAGTTGTACGTTAGTGCTTGGGGAATCAAAAACATGAAGGGTGCGTATGTAACCGCTAAAGAATCGTTATGGGGGCTAGTATTTAAATGCTTCTTGGCACTGCCTTCTAGCACCTTTCAAGAACTTCAAAACTCCTAGTACGCCTCTTCTTCCCCTTGTTCATCCTTATCTTTTTCTCTTTCTTGTTGCACTAGAATTCTTCAAGCTATAGTAGGTAGTGTGGAGTTACACCTTTCACTTCCACTTCTACATATTCTATTTCCTTTGGTGGAAACACCACGATATTGATTCATTAGGGTTCTTTGTAGATAACTCCACCTGTGGTTGGCTGGAATCTATCCTTGATTCCTGTCTTTCCCTTCTCACGCATAGGGCTGATTGTCTTCTTCCCCCTAACTCGTACATCAACCATGATAGTTTCATTCCTATGGAAGGAGAGCATAGTGGTTCGGAGCGTACTTTATCTGAGATCACTCCTCTGCTGGCATCCGAGGTCAATAAGGCAAATGAGGATTCTCATTCCATCATAGAAATTCTCTCTCCATTGGTGAAGATTGTGAGGGTGAAGCTATTTCAAATTTCCCTCACTGATAGTACTCTGAGCAAGATTAGAGCCCTTTATTAGATTCCTGAAGCAATACGACTTTGGTTACCCTCTCTAGATGAAATCGCGGGATTCATGTGTCCTAAATCAAGTCTATTTTTATGAATCCATCTTCGAGGTTGTGCTTTGTTTCCCCATACCTTAATACATCAGAGAAGCCCTCCATTATCTGAACCTTTTCCCTTCACAATTGACTTCGAATAGTTGGAGGTTCTTGGTAGGTATTGGCATTCTTTGGGCCAAAGCTAACGACGATGGTGCTCGACTTACCATTGCTGAGCTCTTGCACTACTACAAACTCACCCCTTGCTTTGGGCAGAGCTTGGGGTGGTTCTATCTCTCAAAACGTGAGAAAATTGACCTTCTGACAGTCTATTCCTCCAACGTCAAGGAGTGCAAGGATAAATTCTTTGTTTTTAGCTTGGATGGGAGTTTGGGCATTCAAAGGTCCTCTCTATTCAGTCCCTTCTAGTTCCTCATTTATAGGGATCTCCTGTTCCATTTGAAAGTAATGGACTTTTTTTTTGTTCCCTTATTCTATCACTTTTTCTAATTGTTTTCTTTCATGTAGGTAAAACATGCCCTTTGTCCTCGAGCTTTATAAGAGAGGTGAGAGAATGACTGCTTATTCTTCTAAAGATCTCTTTACCTTGGTGGCTGACCAAGCTTTTTTTGACTGTAAGTTTAGCCCAACTCCTCCGGTCACTGCTCCTCTAACTCCCAGACCTTCTCCTTTTAGTGGTAAAGTCTAGTTCCTACAAAATCCTTGCTTTATTATTGCTCAGGAGCTAACTTTTTTTTCTTTGGTGTAGGAATGGTACCCAAGGTCGACAAGAAGCTACTCAAAGTGCTTTGCATGGAAAAGGCTTTAGAGGGCGATTCTCCCTTAAGGAAGAAACCACAACTTACATATTCCCAATCAAAGGGTAAATCTCTGACTCCTCTACACTTCTTGTATCTTCTCCAGCCTCAAAAGTGTATGGAGAGAAAGGTGGAATCTTGTGAGGAGGTGTTTGTGCAAAAGTTTACTCTTGTAAAGGTGGAGTCTCCACCAATGCCCTCAAAGAAAAAGAGGAGNCATCTTCTCCAGCCTCAAAAGTGTATGGAGAGAAAGGTGGAATCTTGTGAGGAGGTGTTTGTGCCAAAGTTTACTCTTGTAAAGGTGGAGTCTCCACCAATGCCCTCAAAGAAAAAGAGGAGGATAAGGGGAATGAGAAGGTCTTTGAACTTGGTGTGGCTTCTTTGTGGGACAATGAAGAAGAAGCCTTGATTAGGCTTCACCAGTTTGTTTATGATGAGGAGGTGAATGCCACCTTTGAGCTAGGGACTATTTGGGCAAATAGAGTCCTTTCCTAGCCATTGGGAGAGTATGGTTTCCAAACCACTTCTTTATTCTCTTTATTCCCTTTATTCCATTATCATTTTCTCTTTTAACTCCTTTATTCTTTTTTTAGATTTCTATCCTTTCTACTAGCCTCTCCTTCACTATTGTTGGTGAGAAGAAGGCTTGTCAAAGCCAATTCCACGAGCTCCAAGCTATGATTGAGAAGGTAGATTCTGAGCTAAAATCTTTTGAAGAAAATCTCCAACTGGAGAAGGAGGAGCATGAGAAAACTAATAGATCCTTCGTCGAGTTGCTAACAACCAAGGATGAGTTGCAAAGGAAGCTCTCTACTTCTGATACCACTGCCAAAGAATCTTTAAAAAGGGCTGATAAGTCTGAAGAGGAGAACAAGGTCATCTCCCTTAAGGTCACCAAGCTCTCTACTTCTTTGGAGCAAAATGGGGCTGAGCTCACTGCCTTAATAGAATCCACCAAGAAGTCCGCTGTGGTGGAGTACAAAGAATCTAGTGATTTCAACAAGGAGGTCTTGGAATAAAACATGGTGGCTTGAGGACTTCAAAAAATGTGATAGGGAGGAGTACCAATACTGGGATTTTTTTTAAATTCCAACCTGATGATGACCACGCTTCTGTGGCTGAGAGAGATAATGTGGAAGAAGCTAGTGATGAAATGAGCAGCAAGGCAGAGGTGAGCAGCCAGGTTGAAAGAGCTGTTAGCTTTTTGTGCTTTTCCTCTCTTATTGGTTGTACTTAACTTTTTTGTACATGATGAACAACTCTTTTTTGCTGCATATCTTCCTCATGCTGAGCAAAATTTTGAGTTTATTGTGCCTTGTATGTTGGCTATTCAATAGCTAACACTCTAGGCTTCTTTTAAGGTGAAGTACCTTATAGTGCAAATGAGCAATTTTTTGCCCAACCTAAGCTAGGCAAAGCACTATATGTGCTCATGAGCCATTGTTGGCTCCATTCGACCTAGGCAAGGTACTTTACAATGCTCATGAGCCATTGTTGACTCAATCAGAGCAAGGCAAAGTACCTTGTGCTCATGAGCCAGATG